TGCCGTTTCATATAAATACACTGAAGTAAAATTGTGAATGTGCCCAAAATGCAACATTTCATGAAATAATTGAAACAATGAACTGTTAGATTAATAATTAGAGAAAATCTACAAGGATGACTCAATGTTAGGAACCTAAAAGAGAATGATTTAACTGTCCAAGGATTATGAGGTTCTTAGAAAAATTCTTATTTAAAGCTCTTGGCAAAATTGATCATGTTATAAAAATGTAAAACATGTACGCAAACTTGATGTTTTGTTTAATGTAAGCACTAATGTATAGTTGAAATACCTAAATATTTATAAAGAATAGGTTGTCTATTTTTAAGAGTGGATTTGGTTTTATTTTTGCAAACTTTTTATTAAGGTATACTATACACACTAAAAAAGTGCACATAATTTGCACAACTATATTACTCATGCAGTCAACACCTAAATTCATAAAAAAGAACAACATTCCAGAATCCCCTTTGTCTTTCCTTCCAGTTGCTACCTTTCCCCTCCCAACGGTAAGCATTATCCTGACTTCCAGCAGCACATTTTTTTGTACTTCATATTAATGGAATTATAAAGTACATACGTTGTGTCTGGCTTCTTTGGTACATTATGTTTATTACTTTTATCCATTTTGTTGCAAGTAGTCATGAAGCATTTATTTTCATTACTATATAGCATCCCATTATGTGAGTATGCCACAATTGAGATATTCATTGTATTGTTGATGAAGCTACCCTAGCATTTGAGTAGCTTCCTACCTTTTATCTACTTAGTGTTAGTATAGACTTACAAGAGTACATGTCTTTTGGTGAACTTATGTAAGCATTTCTGTTGGGCTTATACCTCAAAGTGGAATTGCTAGATCCTAGGGTATGGTAAGCTCCAGAACTGCCAATTTTTCAGTGTTTATACCATTTTACATTCATGTTCTACATGTATGTCAACACTTGGTAACTTTTTTTTTTTCATTTTAGCCATTCTGGGGAACATGTAGTGGTATGGCATTGTGGGTTTAATTCACATATCTGATAATTAATGAAGTAGAGCAACTTAACATGTTTATTGGCCATTTGAGTGTTTTTCCTTGAAAATGTTCATTTTTTATTTTTCTGCTGGTTTTTTGCTTACTCATTCTAGGAATCCTTTGTTGGATATGTATATTGTTGGATTGTCGTATGTATCTTTAACTCTGTTAGCTGCCTTCTCATTCATGTCTTTCGATGAACTAAAAAGTTCTTAGTTTTAATATGATCTAATGAAATTTTTCCCTTGTATGATTATGCTGTATTGTTTTAAAAAAATCTTCTACTCTGAGGTCAAAAAGATCATTTTTTCCTAAAAGCTTTATTATTTAACCTTTCACATTTAGACTTGAAATCATTTGAAGTAATTTTTATGTATGGTGTAAGAGTAAAAAGACATTCTTTTTCTAGATGAATATCCAATTGACCCAGCAACGTATATTGAAAAGTTCATTCTTCTCACTGCACTGTAGTGTCATCTTTGTCATAAATCAAGTGACCACTTATGTGCTTTTTATAGTAGTGACATGGTTTTAAGTGATTATAACTTCCAGTAATGATCGGAAGTCAAATGCTCAAAACCTAATTTAAATCTTCTGGATAATTAAGTCATAGCTTACATGAATTCTACTGACACAGAGGGCAAAGAAAAACCTATGAAAAGTTAAAAATATCCTGCTTAGTAATGAAGAGGATGAGAAGAAGGTTATTACTGTGTGTTTAGTACTGTTTAAGTTTAGTAAGGAATTGGGTTCCTACTTCCCAGGAAGTATGGAAGGTAAAATTTGAGACCAAAAAAAAAAAAAAAAAAAAACGAGAGGTGGAGTAGTCAGGAACGGTTTCATAGAGGAAATGAAACTCAAATCCTTGAATTAATTGGGCCTGACTGGGTCACTGTTAATGCAAAACATTAGAGCCTTCCTTCCTTGTGTTTTTTATGACATTAAATCCATTATCATATCCTGCTCTTATTTCTTAGATGCCTTTTTAACCCACTATTACTGAATTTTAGAACAGATCAATGGTTCTGACCCTGACTGCACACCTGAAGCACCTTGGGAGCTTTTAAAAAATACTGATGCCCAAACCCCATTTTGACTAATGAAATCAATCTGTGGGTGTGGAGCCAAATCATCAGTATTAAATGCCCTCTCAGGTAATCCGAATGTACAGCTGAAGTTGCAGACCACTAAGTCAGGAGGTGCCTGGAATCAGCAGTTCTCAGCTAGGGATAGGGTTGTCAGATAAAATACAGAACACCTGGTTAAATTTGACTTCAGATAAGCAAATAGTTTATCCCCGAGGGGAGTGTAGCAATGGCTGTACACATTTTTGTCATGACCATGGGCTGCTGCTGGTGGTTAGAGGCCAGGAAATGCTGTTAAACATCCTACAAGGTACAGGACAGCCCACACAACAAAGAATCATCTGGTTCAAAATGCCAACACTGCAGAGGTAAATTCTGCTTGAATCAACAAGAGTCAGAGGAGAGAAAATAGAGTTGGGACTAAAAGTAGAATTTTTTTCAAATATAAGGATTATGATGATGTTGCAAGTAACAGAAGCCCAAGAAAAACATCAAGGTTTTAAACTTAAAGCCAGAGAACTATTGTTTGAAAGGTAGCATTCTATAATTGAATTTTTAGATACACGTTTCAGCAAATTTTCAGAGAAATTCACAGCATGGAGAGTACAATGAAATGAAATCCTAAGTTTTTTTATCTATGAAATGACAGCAGTTGTCAGTTAACCCTAAATTCTTTCAGCTTAACTTCTGCAACTCTGGTATTTTTCATCAGACATTTAATAGACTTATCAAGAAGTCTATCAACATACCACACTTCTTGATCAGTCTATTGTTTATTATACAGTGCAAATATAGAAAATAAACACATATAAATGATGGAATCACAGCCAAGTTCCAGTACTTGGTCTTAACACTAGCTGTGTGATTTGATGCATGCTCCTGTTTCCCATTTCGCCTACCATAAAATGAGGAATGTGGATCAGATTCAAAGCTCCCCTCTTTTCATCATTTAATTTCTACATGCTTGGATAAATTTTCTTCAACCAGCAACCAAGAACAAAATTCCCAAGTTCTTGTCAAAACAATTTCCCAACAAAAACTTTTTTTTTTCAGTGACAGGTCTAGTATTAATTTCAATGGCTCAGTCTTATTTTCAAAGGTAGCAAATTTATGTTTAAGATAATTTTATAAATTGTTTCTTGTCCACAGGGTCCCGATGACATCAACATGATGAAACTAATACCTGAGTTTTTTAATTGTAGTACATAATAATCAGCCACTTTCTAATATTATCGATCAGTAAGAGTCCCTTGAGTTACAGTTCTAAAACCTTGCCATAACACTTCAGAAAAAAATTTTTTAATTGGTAGTTACTGCTTATCATGCTGTTTGTTTTTGGAAATCCTGCTAAAAAGCAAAATGATAAAAAGAGTACCACCACCATGTACCCTGTCCTCCAACAATACAGTACATAGCCATAACCACCTACAGGGAATAAGTATCATTTTCAAGCAGTAAATGGTACTTCATAATAGTTAAAACAAATGTTGAAATTTCAAGGCAACTTGATTCAAAGAATGGTGCAAGATAGGAAATGCCTGAATAAGCAATATACACATTGGAAATAATGAAAGAGTGGTGCAGGGTAATCGACCAAATAATTCTTTGTTGTGGAGAGCTATCCTTTGCACTGTGAGATGTTTGGCACTATCCCTGTCCTCTACGTACTAAATGCTATAGCAAAATCCCCCATCCCTCAAATCGTGACAATCAAAAATGTCTCCAGACATTGACAAACTTGCCCTGTGGGGCAAAACTGTCCTAATTCAGGATCACCGAGTAGAAAAAAAGCCATGCAAATGGGGGATCTACAATTGTGTGCACAAGGGTTAATCTCACAACGTTGAGTAAAAGAAGCCAGACACTAAACATATTATAGTTT